AGTACCTCCATGTCCCAGAATTCATTCATTTAACAATGATTATCATGCAGGCAGTGCTACAGATAAAAAAAAAACAAGATGGTATCTACTACCACAGTATAAAATGACATCAAAAGATGTGGTATCTATTGTTTTTGTGAGTTGACAGAATATTATCAGTATAAGCAGAAAAGAAGATTATTGAGATGTCACCTAAGCCAATTTGGCTAGAGAGCAAACCATTAAGTCCTTTCAGTAAGTATCAGCAGCCTTCAACAAATAGCCTCACCAGTTCATTGCACTGCTGACAAAGCAAAGTGTAAGCAGTGTGGCTCAAAGAAGTAACTTTAGAAAAGTGGGAAGAAAAGCCAGATGAGAGACTAGAGACATAATCAATGGAATCTTCAGAAATGCTTTCCTTCCCATAAACTGGAAATAACACAAAGTGGAACTCTGGAACCCAGAGAGCCCACAAAGCAAAAAACTGTTTCTAGAATTTATAGGCCTAACAGCCCTATTCAGCAGGATATACATGCTTCTGTACTATGAATCTATGCAATGCTCTCATAATTTCCCTGGCTATTTCTCTCAGTTTGCAGGACCGAGATTATTGCAGTCAGAGACCAGGAGTGCCAAGACACACATGCAGGAACATGTTTATCCTTGTCAACATTGGAAGGAAATCTACTCCAAAATCACGGGTAAAGACATATATTTAAGCAACAGTCTCTTTAGGCAGGTCAGTGAGGTCCAGAAATACAAATGTGGTCTATTTATGTAGGCCCCTCTGAAACCAGCATCTCTTTAATCTACAGTTGGTAAATTAGCATACCACCAGAGGGATGAGTGATGGTAGCAAAACTCCAACTTCTTAATGGAATCACCAAACATTACCATTTCACCACTTAGTCAACAACAGGAAAGGAAAAAAAAAAAAAAAAAAAAAAACTCATTAAAAGAAAAAGGAGAAAACTGTGCAATAATATCAGTTTCTTTCATCTCTTTGGTCTTATGCTTGCCTATACTTCAACAGCTCTAAAAATAGCACAGCACACCTTTTAATGAAGGTTCTTTTAATGACTTATTTTTAATGAAAATAAATATATGTTAACCTATATTACTTCATTCAACAAGTAATACAGCCATATAAGACAGGAAAGGAAATGACTCATTCAAGGTCATTTAGCAGAGAAAAATTATTCAGCAATTAGTAACAGTATAAACTGTTCATTGTATAAAGGGGAAAGAGCAGTTGCTTACACCTCTAGAAGAAGCAGGATTACTGTTTCTAAACTTTTAAAATCAATTGCTCCTTTCCAATCAGCATCTTTTATAATGAGGCTAGTGATGAGTGACTAAACATGAACTCAAATTTCCAACTCAACAGTTAATAAATATTAATACACAATACAGTTAACATTCTTCCTAGTGAAGCTCACTGAACTAGATATAGCCTGATACTTTCTGCATATGTCCAAAATAAACTACTACTCTTCATTCATAATAAAGCTGGTATTACCAAAGAAAAAAGTCTGAAAAACAGGCCCACGGGTTAGGCACAGTACTGGGCTAACATACAGCCATGAAAGTCATGTAGTGACGAAATTATTCTCTCACACTAACTGTAAATTCAGCTGTCATAATCAAGTTTATAGTTTTGGCCTGATAAGCTGGCACACACCTACAGTCTCAAGATACTCTCCAGCCTGTACAAGTAGCAAGATCCTGTCTCAAAAAATAAGAGAGCTGAGAATATACAGAGCACCTACCTAGTACACTTGAGGCCCTGGCTTCAATTCTCATTATTGAAAAGAAAAGACCTCACAGTCTTAATCCTATGCAGGTCAGAGGGACACATACTTTTATGGATGCAGGTATAAAGTAAGAATAAAAGTCAGAAGGGTAATTTTGGAGATTTAATTATTCTCCAGGGTTTTTTTTTATTTTTTCATGTTTTTTTCCCCTCGCTGTTTTTGTTTGCTGTGGTATTTGGTACTGAGGATTAAACCTAAGGCCTCAGGCATGTAAATTATACACTCTACATTAAGCTATACTGCCCCCCATCTCAACTGTAACTACTTTTTATTTCCTACCAATCAAAAGTGCAAGATACAGAAAAAGGTACAGCACACCACTAAAGCTTTTTTTTTTTTTACCGATACCGGGAATCGAACTCACGACTGCCTGCTTGCAAGGCAGGTGCTTATGCTGCTGAGCTAAATCCCCAGCCCAGCACTAAAGCACTTGCCCAGTGTTTGAGAGACCCTAAGGCCAGCACTGAGAAAGAAAAAAAAATCTTCTAAAAAGATAGTATCATAGAAAGTGGAGATAAATATTAAGAAATTGAGATACCAAGAAGTCTATTTCCTCTTTTAATACAGTACACTCTGAAATATCACATGAAAGTAATCCTGTTAACCATTAAGTACCAAACTAGTAGAGGCAGCACAATCACAAATACTTGAGTACTGAAGCTGACTCATAAAAATCTAAAGTATTTCATGCTGTAGGCTTTCAAGATAACTATCAGTTTAACTCCTTCCTCTGCTTCAATCATGTTATTTTGAAACCAATATTAAAAATATTTTTACCTACTTTTGCAAAGTGTGATTTAGACGTCAGTGAATACAGAAAATCATAAGCAGTTGTATTTTAAGGGATCATTATTCCTGCACTTGATCCTGGATTTACTCTGTTACTGGTTAAGCACCTGTCCTAACCTACTATACTAAAAATAAATATATATTATATATGTTTATGAGAAGAGTTGTCTAAAAATCTTAACTATCCCTTTTCAGGAAATATAAAAATCCTTAAATGAAAAGCCATTTCAAAATTGAACAGAACTACAAAACTCTTTATTAAATTTTCTAGGAATTTTAGCTTAAATCCTAGTTTGTACTATCCTTAAATAATTAAAATTTCTTTTTGGACCAGAGACAAGTACTATCATATAAAATCAAAACTTATATTTTGGTGGTAGTGGTATTGGGGATTGAACTTAGGGCCTCACCCATGCTGAGAATGTAGAGCTGCACCCCAGGCCTAAAATCAAAACTTTTTAACTTATGAGAACAGAAAGTCAGTAAATTTTAGGCCAAAAATTTTACATTTACATTCACAGACACTAATTTGAGTTACATTGTACTTCTAATTCGTTTAGAAGAAATAAAGATATTTTAATTATTCTTAAAGACATTTTATTCTTTTTAAATGAATGGAAATGGAAGAAGCAAAGAACAGCCTATCTCATAGAGATATCAGTTTACAATTTTTCAACAGGAAATACTGTTTTAAGTAATGTAGTGTACATCTCTAAGAATATACATCATTCCGATTACCATATATTACCAAAATAATCACTACAAAAGTGCAAAATTCTTGACCACAGTTTGACAATACTGAAAAAAATAAATGAAAACAATCACACAAGCATTCACACAGAAACAAAAATCAGAAAGTACATCAAACCACCCTCCACCCCCAGTTTTCAAGAACACTAGAAAGGTCCCATCCTGTGAATTATAGAAAGGACAGCAAATATGGAGCTACCTAAGTATTTTTTGCTACTGTACCTCCAGTTTTAGAACATGCATCTCAACTCCCCAGATACCATCGTCCACAGAAACCATGCAGCTATCCGACAGACTTTCAGTGTCACCATTTATTATTTATAGTGTTAAATGGGGGAAGTGGCTCTGATGTCACCATCCCTACCCAGTGGAATCACTGACTCAATAAACATTTTCACACTGGAGAAAATCTGGCTAGGAAAACATTCCGCTAGGTTAAGTAAATTCTTTCACCTTTCCTCTCCACTTTGGAGTAAAGTTGTTACTGTGTTTGCAGAGATACAAAGAAACTGTCAAGGTTTCCACAGGAAGAAACCTGTGAATGTCCATTTGCTGAGGCAAAGACTTCCTCTCAACTCTCTGGAGCCCAGTCTGATTTCCCTAATGTTCAAACTGGCAGATAATACCTACCATATTTTATTTATTCTACCAAATCATCCACCAATTAGCAAATCCTTCACTTGTACTAGCCACTCTCTCACAGATTCAATGCCGTTTCTAAAAATTCCTCCTGGCTACAAATCATAAGGAGGAAAGGTATTGAGAGGCGTCTGTGGACCAGGAGTGCTAGCTTGGTTATTAAAGGTTTCTACCAGAAAACGGATGGGGGGGGAGGAGGCTTCATTTTTATTTTTCTTTTATCTTTTTCTTTTCTTTCTTTCTTTAAAGAAAGTACTGGTGGCAGTGATGAGGACGACTTTCTCTTTCTCCTCCCTCATTTCTCAAAGCAGCTCTAGAAAATGTAATTATGGTCTCCCTGTCCTGGGGGATGGAATCCAGAATACCTGGATCCTTGCTATGCAAACGTCCCTCACCGCCGGGTAGGAAACTCCTTTGTCCGAGAAGCCTGACACCACAGGGCCCGGGAAAGAGGCTCCTTTTCCGTCACAGCTTCAAAACCGAGAGCTCCCCCAAATCGGAGCCCTGTAGGGCCTCCCTTGGCATCCACACAGTCAAAGGTTGGGGAGAAGGTGCCGAGGACCCCCCCCCCAAAGCGGAGGCCCAGGAAGCCCTAGCCAATCTCCTCCGCACGCCCTCCCACCACGTCTTTGGCCTGAGTGGGGCTTGGAAGCGCGGTGAGGGCCTGGGCCGGAGAAATACAGGGGGGAGGGGGTCCCCCCTCCTAGAAGGAGGAGGATTAGATGCTGAAGTGAGGTTGACCTAAAGCTGCTGAACAACCGTGCGAGGATCATCCGAAGAATGGGCCGGGAGACGGGAAGGGAGGGGGCGATCCGAGGGCATGGAGGGGGCCGGGCCGAAGCCGGCCTAAGATCTCGAGGGATCAAGAGGAATAGCGCCGGGCCCAAGGCCAAGGAAGGCGGGGGGCGCGAGCCTGGGCCGAAGCGGCCAGGAAGGGACGGGGCTGGCCTCGCGCGGGACGCTGAGGTAGGCAGGCCCGGCCTGGGCCGGGCGGACGGAAGAACGGACGGTCCAGAGGGCCACACTCACCATAAGCTCGATGGTCTTGTCCTCAATCACCGAGTCGGGCTCCATGGCGGACCCGGCGGACCCGCCTCGCTCTCCCCACGCAGCAGCGAACGGCCCGGGCGGAGGAGGCGACGGCGGAGGCGGCAGAGGCGGAGGCGGCTCTCGCACCCACTCTAGCTGCCAGCCCGCCCGGGCCGCCGGCAGCTCCGCCCTCCCCCTCGGCTAACGCAGTACGGAGAGCAAGGACTACAACTCCCAGCAGGCGCCGCGAGCCCCGCAGGGCGTTGTGGGAACACGAAGCGGATCCGGGACCTCTCTTAGTTGGCAGCCCGAGACTGAATTCTGAGCTGAATGGAACGCTGGACTGTAAATCTTGCAAGGCCAGACCTGAAGAATTAAGGACTTGCTCACAGTAAGGCCTCGAAAGCACCACGACTACAGGTCCCAGAAATCCCTGCGCGCTGGTTCTTTTTCCGGCTCGTTTTTCCTGACTTCCTGACTGCCCACGGCTGCCTAAACCGGGACAGAAACTAAGGCAACTCCTCATTTGTCGGAGATCTTGCGGCTGCGACCAGTTTTTGCACATGCGCTGTCTGTGTCTGCAGTGCCCACTGTACGCCTAGATAGCGGCCCGGCTGTTCGCGAGTGTTTCTTGTGGTAGAGGTAGATGATGTAAATCGGTGGTAGGTGCGGTAGGATGATGGGGTCCTGAGGTTTGAATGTGAGACAGGGACCGCGAGCGAGCGAAGCTCGGCCAAGGGAGAAGAGTCTGAGCATGCCAGGAGAAAGGGATTTGAAGATTTTGTTGGGAAACATTTTGTTGTGCCATACGAACTGGGAAGAGCTGAGAGATGGAAGGTTACCTGTGTAGGATGAACCCTTTGACTCATTCGTTCAGAAAATGTTTATTTTTTAAACCATCCAGTCTCTACTGAGTACTGACTGTACAAAGCACTGAGAATCAGACTAGGCTCCTGTTCTCATGGAGTTTAATTCCAATGTGGGTGGAGGGGCAGACATTAACCAGAAGAGTAACAGTGCTAAGAAGCTGGAGACTACGTCTAGTGTACTCTGCCTTGAACTCTAAATTTGCCAAGTCGGTGTCCTCTAACAAAAATCCACCAGCAGCAACGCACTGGTAGTTGAGTTTAATAAGCAGAGTTTATTACTTGTTGCAGTGAGGGAAACACGCACCATGAGGAATTGTGGTGCATCTCGGTAAGGGTTTTTAGGTGAAACCAAATGTGGTGGCGCACACATGTAATCCCAGCACTCTGGAAGGGGAGACAAATTAAAGCCCAGTCTGGGCCACTTAGTGACTCTGTCTCAAAAATAAAAAGTAAAGAGAGGAAGAGGTCTGGGGGTGTAACTCAGTGTGAAGACCTTGAGTTCAATTTTCTGTACCAGGAAAAAAAATTGTCAAGTGATTTGGAAGAAGGTTTAAGGAAGCACCGACAGCTCTCTGGAGATGATGTCACTAAATGGAGACAATTCTATGATTGGACATCTCAATAAATCTTACCTGCGCAAAGGGAATACTGCGTTGAGGCTAGTACTATATTTGGTAAAAAAGCAGCAGCCCCTGGTATTTGCCCGGTTAGAGTACTTTTTCATTTTTTGTGGTTAGGAAAATATTCATGTTTTACCATGAGTTAAGACATGATTATAAAGTGGTCTCTTTTTTTTTTTTTTTTTTTTTTGTCTTGATCCATGGTCATAGAATGGCCTTATCTGATGATGTTCTGTGAAATTGTTTCTGTTCTACAGAACACTAGGCCTGGCTCTAAGGGCCAAACTTTTGTCTAGTGACATTAAGACATGGTTTTACCAGGCCAGTTGCCAGATGTCAGAGGCTACTCCTCTACAGTATTTTTGCATTCTCTGAATCTGTGAAGTGACTGGATGACCTGGAAATCTTTTCCATTTTCAGGTTATTACAGCAATCTGTACACATTCAGAACACAGTGAAAGTTCCCTGAAGACACTGAAATTTCAGTCTTTATGAAGTGTTTTTTTACCAGGAAAATTGGAAGAAATGCAATAGGAAGAAAGAGTGGAAAGCCACTAACTTGCTCTCTGAATTTCTCCAAAATCCTCTCCCTATCTAAACCTTAGTTTATTAACCAAGAAGGTTAGAATAAATGACCTTTGTTTCAGTTACCTATTGCAACATACCAAACCACCCTTAGACTTAGCAGCTTAGAATAACAATAGTTTATTATTTTTTACAATTGTGTGGGTGGCTCAGCTGGGCCCACATGGTGTGATCTGAGGTAACAGGGGGCTGTAATCAGCTGGGAACTCATTCAAAATGATTTCTCATCCTCCTGACCTCTCTTTCCACAAGGCTTCTTCTTATTCAAATCTCTGCATAGGAATTTCAAAGAGAACAAGCATCAGTGGATAAGTGTTTATCATCCCTTTGATTGTGGCACTCTTGCTAATGGCCTATTGGTTAGAGTCATGCAGCCAAATCCTTAGTGAGAGAAGACTTCATATAAGCCTACAAATACAGAGGGGCATGGTTCATTGAGATCCAAGACTGCAAAAAGTCCCAGCAACTGCCACAAGGTATAGCACATAGGACACAGATAGAAGTCACAAACTGAACATGATCCTGCTTCCTCATGCATATGTTTATCTTGTGCTATCTTTTTTGTTGTTCACTTAGTGGGGAAGGGTTGCAACAGTCTCACTATGAAGTCCAGGCTGGCCTTGAACTCACAGTGATACTCCTGCCTCAGCCTCCTGATTACAGGCATGCACCACCATGCCCATTTTAAAACCTGCATTTTCAGTTTCTCTTGCAAAATTATAATGTCTCTCTGATTATTGGATCTACATGGCAGCAATAAGCAATGATTAAAGAGCAACTACTTTTTTTTCCTCCTGTAGTATGGGGGATGGAACCCAGGACCTCAGACAAATTAGGCAGATGTTCTACCACTGAACTATACCCCACCCTTTTTATTTTGAGACAGCATCTCACTAAGTTGCAGTAAATGACATCTAACTTGCAAGTATCCTGCCTAAGTCTCCCAAGTAGCTGCCCTCACAAGTGTGATGTCCTGGGGCTGGGGATTTAGCTCAGCGGCATAAGCGCCTGCCTTGCAAGCCGGCAGTCGTGAGTTTGATCCCCGGTACCGATAAAAAGGAAAAAGACAAAAAAAATAAAAACAAAAAATAAAACAAGTGTGATGTCCATGATGCTCAGCTGCAATTGTCTTCCTTATATGAAGCATGGTACTCTATGATTTTTTTATGGGTCCCTTTACTCACAGCTGTCTCATATATATGTCGTAGTCTATTTTCTGTTACTGTAACAATACATAAGCCTGGATAATATACAAAGAAAAGAGGTTTATCTAGTTTGTGATTCTAGAAATCTAGGAGCAGTATCATCCAGCCTTCCTGCTGGATCATGATCTAAAGAAGGCATCATCTGGTGAGAAATAGCAGGCCAGAGAAAGCTTCCTTTCCTACCAAAGCCACTAGCCCAGTAATCTCACTAATCCATTAATCCACATACAGGTTGATCCGTGCCTCAGGGCAGAGTCCTCCAAACCCAAACACATCTTTTTTTTTTTTTTTTTTTTGGACATGCATATACCATACTTTACCCAGTTATCTCTTAGCAGCTCACAGGGGTGATTCAATTTTAATGTGAGTTTTGGTGGGAACATTCAAACCATAACAATCTGCATACTTCTCACCTAGATTTCATGTCCAACCCATATAGATATTTTAGTTTTCAGTCCATATCATTGGAACTGTGGTGGAGATTAACTCAGTATCTGTCCTTTTTCTTAAAATCATGCCCTTTTAAAGAAAAAAAGCTAACATCATTGAATGAGATACCAGAAGCTCAGCAGTACTATTATCATATATAAATCATATTTAAGCTAGTTTGTATGGTAAATGCCTAAGTTTCCAGCTACTTGGGAGGCTGAGGCAGCAGGATTGCAGTTTAGGAGGATTCTAAACAATTTAGTGAGACATTATCTCAAACAAGCAAACAAGAAGGACAGGTATGTAACTCAATGGTATAATGCTTGCTTAGCATGCATGGGGTCCTGGGTTCAACCCTCAATTTGAAAAAAAAAAAATCATGTTTGTGGTAGAAGCCTTACGCAAGCTGAGCCAGGCTTATCTCCTCACTCTACCCTCTTCTCAGACAAGTACTTAGATGCACAGCTATCTTATTTCTTCCAGCTTGATACCACATGGTCATCAGACTTGATCATAGTCAAAGACAAGAGACCCCAAGGCATATTTTCCCCGAGTTTCAAAATCTGTACACCAAGGTTTGCAACATATGCTAACAACATATTCTGTACACTGTACTGCTCCATGTTCCCTTAATTAGGACTTAGAGACTCTGATATCTTGCAGAATGGAGTAGACTGCAAAAGCAGAACAGTGTATATACCATGTGTATAAGGCAACAGCCCAGAAAATATAAGATGGCACTCCAGAATCAAATATATTAATTTTTCTTTAGCAGCATATATGTGTGCCTATAATTAATTTACAGCTTCTTGGCTCCAAATCCACTCCTCTTTGCCGTGCTTTGAGATACCGAAGTAGGATCCTGTGAATACTTCTCCTCTGACAGCTGGCACTGATTCACTTCATCAGTAGAGACCATTAGAAACATAAGAATGAATGGGCTCCTGGTCCTGGCTCCAGTGTACTTTCTTTGCTTTCTTGCTTTTGTGGCCTAAGGCAGCAAAGGGTTTGCAAAACTGTCCCTCTCACACGCATGCATATGTCCTTGTTCTCTCACTATCTCTCTCTCTCTCTCTCTCTCTCTCTCTCTCTCTCTCTCTCTCTCTCTCTCTCTCTGCATTTTAGCAGACTTCACCCTTCGGTGGGCCATAACCACCCTCTCCCTAAGGAGGTCCAGATTTTAGTCTAAAGATGGTGAAAGTGGGAACTCTTAAGCTTGTTCCTTCCTCTTTGGGTATTGAGCCTCAACCCTAAAATTAAAGGCTGTTCTCTAGAACTGTTACTTACAGTTGCTCTTTACCTCTTACTATTTCATCCCCTGTAATTTGTGTGTGTGTGTGTGTCGTATATTGGCAGTGTGTGGCTTGGTATTAGGGATTAACCCGAGGTTTTGTGTGTGTGTGTGTGTGTGTGTGTGTGTGTGTGTGTATGTGGTATATGGGTAGTGTGTGGCTTGGTATTAGGGACTGAACCCAAGAGCTCTCTACCATTCGTATCCCTAGGCCTTTTTGAGATA